TTGCACAACCTCTCAGTTTAAGAGCAAATCACAGTTCCCTTTTCCCCTTGCTCACCTTGATCTCTTTGCGGGTCTCCCCTGGTTTAAACACTAGGGTTCCCTCACTGAATTCATAGTCCGCCCCAGCATTGGCGGAGCCATTTTCTGTACAGTAGTCCACATAGAACGTGTTCTGGCCTGTGCCCCCTTCAAGGATCACCCCGAGGCTCAGAGAGCCACAGTTCTCTGTGCACTGGTACTGGGCACTTTCAAAACAAATGTGTGAGCACGTGGCCATGTCAGCCTCCTGGCCTCCTGAGCGACGGGCGCGCTCAGCAGCATGTTTCTTTAATACGTTGCCAGCACCAATCAACATGCGTGTCGCCTGGACACGGTAGAAGGCGCGACTCTTCTTCTGATGGACCAGGGCAGAGTAGTTGGCCATCTCAATCAGCTGGTCTAGGTCTTTTTCTGGGTGTTTCTCCTGCAGGTCTTTTAGAATGCGGACCACCTATCCATGAGAGAAACCAACTGTAACACAATATTTATAGAAATGTACATTTTCCCAAATTGTCTGTAAAAACTGCTCCAGAGCTTGCTCATTAGTGCCTGTTACAGCAGAAAGTTGTGACCACACAGGTTGGGTGTGCTTTAGGGTCCTGGGATTCAACAGCAGAATGAGAAGACAAGTATTAGTGTTTCTTGGGACAAAAAAGTGCAAATTGCATTCTAATCCTGGGATCTTTCTCAAGGAAACTTTGGAAACTCCTACTGCTCAGCCTCCTGCAGATCACTGTTAAGACTCCTGCTGTCTGCACTCCTGCCATTCAGACTCCTGCTGGGATTGAATCCTACTAGCCTTAGAAAACACGATATTCCCCTTAAATTCCCATTAAGCAGCTTCACAGTTAGAAAAACATTAGGTCCACCAGTGTGCCTGACATGGTAGAAGATGTTCCCCTGTGAGTAGCTTTCATCCTTGCCTCTTGCCTTTAAAAAAAAAACTACTTAACTAAGACTTAAGTATTTTTCCTCTTGAAGAAAAATCACATATATAATAATAATTTAAGGAACTCTAATCACTTAATACAAAGTTGAGGCTGAACCAACATTAGGAAGGGAAAAAATGAATGATTTGACACCATTAAATGTGTGTCTAAAACAGCATTTCTCCCTGAGCCACCTGTCTTACCTCATCTTTGTTCTGGTCTAGTTCACTGCCTGTTTGCACAGAGACTGTCACACCAGAGGAGTTTCCAGGGCACGAACTGCCGTCTGACAACTTTCCATCAATGATCACGTCAATGCCTTTGGGCGAAAGGTCACCTTCCATTTCCACCACAATGCCATGCCTCTTGTCAGCACGGTAACGCTTGTGCATGTATTTGTAGAAGAGTAGGCGACGGTCAGCAATCCAAGCCAAGATCACACACACCGGAAAATAAAGCAGCGTCACCACAGCTTCCCACACCTGGTGATACAGACAGTATGAGAGTATGAGCATGACATGATTTACAAGCTTTGATTTCTAAGAAATACATTTAAATATAGTCATTGGAAACAAACCTCTACAATCCCAGGTGAGATGACAGCCAGTATGAGGTAGAGCCAAATGTAGGCAAAAATACTCCAGAAAGCCGTAATGAAAAACACTCGCAGGTGTTTGATCTTGCGAGACTCTCCGTCAGGGATCACCCACACACACAGACCAATTATCACAAACATATTGAAGGCAGCGCTTCCCACTATGGTGCCTGGGCCAAGCTCCCCTGCGTCAAAGTTGTGCCCACATACCTGTCAACATTTAAGGGACAAAAAAGACAAATGTGACATAGAACAAAATCAAAGACCTTTTCAAGCCCCATGTAACAGCCAAATAACACAAATATATTAGAATAGGCCGTTTTTTGAGTAAGGATAATCAAATATTAAATATCCTGAGGCTTATAGGCTGAAATAAATTGATGTATATAAAAATGTTCAGTTTTGGTTGGCTGTGATGTGTCTCAATTAACATCAAGTCGCTCCTCGAGTTTACCCTTATTCCCATGTAATTTATGGTGTAAATGTATTTATCTATGCATGCATGTTTTTAAGAATGTAAAATATCAGAAAATGTCAGACTTTTTTGAAGGTATGTGAAAAGCACATTCACAGTGAAAGACAACATTTTACACGTTAAAAGGATGGGCCTTGTGTACCTCAATAACAGAAAGCAGGATCTCAGGCGCAGAGGAGCCCAGGGCCATGAGTGTGAGGTTGGACACAGTCTCATTCCAGACTCTCACTGTCGCTACTGTTGTTTCACCGTTGGGTTTGGTGATGGTCACCTCTTTCTCCTACAAGGACAAAAGTTGTGAATGTCAAACATGCTGTCACCACTGAACTCATAAGTTCCAGTTATTGCAATCAATGTTCAAAATTTAATTAAAAACTACATCCCATATTTTTGCAGTTCTATTTGTTTCGACAACCTGTATTCAAAAGAACATGCTACATGTGGAGAATCTAGGAGTTGTGCATATAGTATGCTGTATGATATTTCTGAAAGGACACAGAACGTAAGGCAGTCTGGACAGTTTCGTCGTATTTGATCTCTTATATGAAGTTTAATAGTACCTGAGAGGTGATGACTTCGATGGATGCCATGAACCGATCTGCGATGATGGACACACCCGCAAACATGTACATGAGACACAGGAAGTAGATGAGCGCCCTCCCTGATTGCTCCCCCAATGGAGGATTTAGTGGCAACCACACTGGCAGCAGGATACCGGGTCTACACACCACAGCTTCTGAACACGATCTCTTGCCCGTGCTGTTACCAGAGGACTGAGGCAGCTCAGGGCCAGAGGCTCGCTCCACAACCTGGGGCCTGAAGGAGGTACAGGGATGGGCCAGGAGAAGGAGGGAGAAGAGGAGGAAGAGGAGTCGGGAAAGGTGTACATTGAGGGGTTCCATGATGTCCCTGAGTCAGGAGGGGCCTGGGGGTCACTGGGGGAGAGGTTGGATCAGAGGACTCTCCTGGAGGAACAGAGGAAGGCACATTGTAGGAAAGAGATAGAATGATGTGTAACAGATTTACAGTCTACCTTGTCTACCACAAAACTTGTGCTTTTTTTTTTTGTGCCCCAACTTTTCATCTAGCACCACCATCAGCTCAAACTTTTAATTTGTCCAGTATTTTGGATTCTGACCAAATACCTGCAAAAGTAATGACAATCTCATCATCCTCAGCGGTGTTATTCTCTGTTTAGTGCTAATTATCAAATGTTCTAGATGTCAAACATGGTTATCATTAGACCTACTTAACATCAGCATGTTAGCATTTAGCTCAATGTACCACTGTGCCTGAGTACAGCCTAGCAGTACAGCCTGCTAGCATGGCTGTAGACTCTTAGTCACTGAATATTATATGTAAGGATAGTTCCATGTGATCAATTACACCTGTATGATGTAAACTATAAAAACAACACTGACATGCAGTAAATGCAAAACACCATTGTATAACATCACAAGTAAGGGTTTCAGACTCATCTTTAACAAAAGCTGCTGTGGAAGTGGCCTTTTCCTACAAAAGCCATTTAAGTGAAGCTTTTTCAACAACCGATGTGAGATCGAACACTGCCCTAAAAGGGGCCTATTTATTTTTCAAATTAGCACCACCTCAGCTTTTGTATAAAAAATAGACCATAAACATAAGGATGTGGCTGTAAATCAATTCTATACAAGCAGTGAAGAAATTAAAAACCCAAGTTTCTACTCTCCCTTTATTTATCAGTTTTGTGAGTAAAGTTAAATGTGCATTACTAGCCAAATCTCTTTTTCGCTTACTGCATGGTAATTCTGTCCAATACCCAGCAGGTAATGATCAGCCATAAACAGATGAAAGCACACACTTACTGGATACTGTTTCAGACATGTGCTGCACAGGATGCAGGTTGTTTTGTTTTTTATCACAGCCACCAACACAAAGACCGGTTATTAGCAGTTAAAAGTAAACTGACCCGACAGAGTCATCTTAACAGCATTTCAAAATGACCTCTGGGAAACTAAAGCTAGGTTGTTAAGTCATGCAGCTCCTGTGGTTATCGTTGTCTAATCACTGGACGCCGATGGTAAGAATGACTAAGCGCTAATTTACGACTCAGGCAACGTTCTTCTGCCCCGCTGTGCCAACATCTCTGTGTGAATGCTACTTGTCATGAAATGCAAAGTCTCTTGAGAAGCAGTTACTATTGCCAGCATTGCCAGTGTTTCTTTATGTCAGCTCATGTGGACATGATACCTGAGAACAAAACAGACAAATGTATTTAGTAAATATTCTAATGCAATTAATTCTAATGTCATTATGAGCAGTAATGAATGCAATCTGAAGCAATTTCCATTAATAATCATTGCTATTAATTACCCACCCTCTTTATTATCTACTTTACCACTTAGGCTAACGTTAATCTGCCACTGTCCTCCTTGACACCCATCACTGGTAAGCTGCATGAGTAACCCTTGTGTGTGCTACCATAACTTATTTATTGGCCATTACAGGTCTTACGACTAATGACTGAGTTGTGATGTTACCAAGCATTCTACTGCTTTCATATGCTGCTCTTATTGACACTGTTCCTGTCTAAAAGTCACACAATGATACAGTATTTTGACTATGAAAAAGACTCAATTACCAACCACTGTCAAGACACTAACCATCATGATCTTACTTTTGAAAAATGAGAGTGTTTGGATTGAAGGACAGCTAAATAATGCGGAGCAGACACACACCAAAGTGTAGCAGGCAGATTACAATGTAATCTGGTGTCAGGATGTATGGGTGTGAGTACAGCAGGCTGGTAGAAAGCTTTCAGTGTCTCTCTGTGCTCCTCCTGGGCCCACCACCTCCACTCCCCCTGTACAGGTGACATGGCACTATTGTGCATCGTGAGTTGAAACAGATACTGGGTGCTGCATCTTTGATGCTGCCTGAGCTCTGCCAGCTCATTATGGAGTTGTGATTCAGAAACACAGGCCAGAGGGCCCGCCGCATCACATTTCACTTTCCAAGGCCTGCTATGGTTACCACGACCTCAGACAGAGGGCCACCTTACACCAGCGGTCTCGAAGGGAGGGAGGGGAGGGTGGCTGGGGCAGGGTCACCAAAAATAACTTCTTCAATGTTCTTATTTGGACAACAACAGTGCCAGAGTGATGTGAGACTACAAATACTGATAAGCATCTTCCTGTAAAATCCATTCTCATATGATGGCTCATTAAAATATACAGCACCAGCCTTGTTTTTACCAACAGCCAGCATTTTCAGATAAAACCAGCAATATGCACTCAATACACACAGATACAAACACTCACAACACACCACCTAAACAACAAGCCTAAGTGTTTTTAGAGTTATAAAACCTGGGCTACAGGAAAAAGACTTTCCTAACATCATGTATTTTAAATTTGCAAAAGTCTTAAAAAAAGCAATTTGTTCTGTATGGTAAGTGGTATATTTGGCCTCGCAGATGATGTGTGAAATACAGCAGAGCCGCTGAGAGCCACATATACGGGTTAGATAATCAAAAAGCCAGTAGTGGAAAGGCTAGATGCATTATTGATTAATGCATTCACCTAAATATAGCAGGATATCTCTCCCTTTCATGTCACCTACAAGCAGCCCTGTAAACATCATTCAGAAGAGCAGACTGATGGATTTAGCCAGGCATAAAGGGAGCACTTCCTAGTCTCTCTAGTCCCTCACCTAAATAGATCAGAGCTCTCCTCTGCAGTGACACTGATTCCAGTCAACTCTTTTTCATTTTGCTCCAGGAACAATGTTCAAAAAAGTCACACAAGTTAATGTTAAAGGTTAAGGCTAGTGAACGACATAAAGCAGAAAAAAAAGAAATACTAATAAAAATAAACGGTTTCCTTTTTTCTTTTTACAAGCCTTTCTTGTGCCTGGGGGAAGGGGGGTCGTGGGGGTGTTGACAGGTCTGTGGTCTCCTCGTCCTCTCAGCGCACAGGAACAGTGAGCTGGCTGACAGCTCATCTCCCCTTACTGCCTCTGACACGGCCACTATCTGTCAACACCACCGATAAGTGATTGCCTGGGGTTATCTTACGCTGATAGGAGTGGCAGCAAAAAAGGGAGTTAGCACCTTTAACAGTTTATTATTTCCTGCCTGTGTCCTGACAGTGCCGTGTACTGTCAGAATAGGGAAGCCGGCCACTCAGGTGTGACAGTGAGGCAGAGAGTGATAATTCAGGCATCAATATTATAAAATAAATGTACTCTTATTTGAACTTGACACAAAACACAGCTCCACATGTTTAACTGTGGAGAATACCATCTTTTTTGGAGGTTCTCCAAGGGTTTTTTTTTTCAGTCTTTATTAAGGTATGTGTGTGTGTTTGAGTGTGTAACTGCCTCCAGGTACAGCGTGTCCAGAGGTGCCTCACGGAGTAGAGTTTACTTGTTTACCAGTGGTTCATCAATAAGCAGCTAACAGGCACCTTGCAGTGAATATTTATAATGATATATACAATCAGAAATGTAACCATCACCTACAAAACGAGTGTAATCTGGACATGCAGCTGAGTCATCCTTTGATTTAATCCAATGGTTTCAGCTTTGGTTACATTTATAAAAATACGTAAACACACACCACACGTTCTTTCTCAACCGCCAGACCACTATTCTGGCCGTGCGACTGTTTGGAGATTGACAAAGATCACCTTTCTGGGATGTAAGCTCTATGTACAGGTAAACCAATAACATACCATGTATACATTTCACAGACAGCTAATCAAAGCCTGCATGTGTAACTATCTTAAACACTCAACCACACAGTGAAGCCCCATGCTAAAATGAGAGAGTATAACATTAATGTAGCTGTCTACAAACAAAAAGGTCTATATACACATCACACGAGTGACGCCACTGTCATTCACATGTCATGTCAATAATAAATATATGTATACTAAAGAATCAAGGTATAAGGTGATAGTAAGTTAAAATGCTACAACCCAAAGTCAGCAATATATATAAAAGGTACAAACGTATAAACTTATAAGCTACCCAGAAATACAAAAGAACCTTCATGTTTAAGGCTAGACATGAGATTACTGTAAACCAAGGGTAGGTTCTCTATGTAGTTATAACTTAATTGGTGCCACTGGTTTCAACAAGGATGGCACAATTACCCGGGGCAAGTAAATTGCCCCATCGGGCTTGTAAATCTAACAACTCACTTGCCTGATCAGACAAGTGGTAAAAAAGAATAAAACCCAGCTTTTTTTCCGGAGCTAATGATGGAAGGAGCTAACGAGTGAGCCATGTCACTTCTTTCTCATCTCTGCTGTACTACTGTTGGGCAGCACCGGTCGTGCACTCGCAGGAAAACGGCGGTGGGCAAAGACAAAGTTTAGAACCTGAGGCACAAGTGAGCTTTTTCATTTTCCTGGAAACAGGAGTTTAGTTGCGGGGCGTTATTTTTGCCTTGTCAAGTTTCCAAAAGACTTTGCTGGAGTGCTGTAACAAAAGCCGACAGCATCTCACTTTCATGGCAGCTAAGAGGATCTTTGTTGATATTTGATAACCGCTAAACAATGTGTAGTAAAATTAGTTTTTGATATATCATGGATATTATACGTTGATATGGCAAACATGTTACCGAACATTTGCTGATCACACACAAGTTCTTTAGCTAGCTGCTTAATGCTCCACTATGTTCACCAGCTAGTCTCTAACTGCGCCTGCTGTTTGCTGTGGAGCAGCATTAAACTACTTCCTTTCCTGGGCAAATACAAATCCAGGGAGGAGTTTTAATGTTTTTTCACATCATTATGAAAAGCTCCTCGCTTTCCTTTGACAACACTTTTTCCATTTTGTGGCACAATGATGTGACTGGACTGTGGTAATCTTTAGGACAGAAAGGATTTGCACCCAATTCTTAATCTGCTGCTGCTCATCAGCATAAAGGTCATGAATGTAGGGGATGGCTATATGGTAATCTTTCAAATTGTGGCTG